AGTCGTCGGAAGTCACCTGGAGTCGCTGTGAGCAGCCCATCGTGACCGGGAGGCCCTGATATGGTTGTATTGATGGCAAAAAAGGCCATATCAGGAGCAGATCTGGCCATCTGGCCGTTAACGACCAAGTCTATGGTCGTTAATGACTAGATCTCGCCCAGATCTAGTTGTTAATGGCCAAGGATTTAGTTGTTAATGACCAGATCTGGCCTGATATGGCCGTTTTCAGCCATCAATATGGCCAGAAACAATCATACTAGAGTCTTGTGATTACGGTGAGCTACTCATGGTGACTTTTGGAGACTTCCGGCAGTGGTTTGCAGTGGCAGCAAGGGGTGGGGGTGATTTTATCATAAATTAAAGTTTTATATGAGCAGGGGTGTTTTAGCTAAATCTGAAATATTGGGGGTTAAAAGAAATTATTCAAAAATTAATAATAAAAATAATATTATATTAATATTTAAAAAGAGGGCAATTTAGTAATTTAAATAACATATCCACCAATTTATTCCCTCTAACCAAACATATTAATATAATATATCCACCAACTAACCAAACACATTTTTTAAAAGATTCCTAGTAATCTTGAAGGTCATATAAGATTCCAGTAATCCAATATTCCTAGTAATCTAACATTCCCTGAACCAAACGTCCCCTAAAAGTTTTAAAATTTATATATATGAATATTAATTTCACCACTTGAAATTAAATATATACCTTTGTCTGGTCCCATTTATTTATCAAATTTTATCTTTTGGCACACAAATATCATTTACTAATTTGACCAATGGTCTTGATCATTATTCTCCTGATTTCTAACACAACTTGACTAATACAATCATCAATATTCAATGCAAATCGGATAAATATTTTCTTGTTCATGATTTTGCTAATTTGAATTATTATTATTTGTATTCAAATTAAAAATACAACCTTAAACACCTGTTCAAAATGTCAAATAACAAATGACTTGTAGCAGTCTGATAATACCATCTTATTTGGTGTTGAAGTAATTATGTAAAGGAGACAAGGGTATTAAAGGTCAAGAAATTGGATGAAAGGTCACCTTTCAAAAGCCCCTAATGTTTTGGTCATTTTATTTGACCCGCAAAGTATTTGAATATTTTAAAGGGTATAACAGTATTAGTTGGTTTGTCGCTCTCAAGGTCTTGTAGTGTTTCGTTTGAATTGGCCCATTCATTTAAGCTCTGAGTTATTTTATTTTATTAATTTTTTTCAGTTCTTTTATATTGTTTTACTAGTCTCATATTTCAAATTATATAATGGGTTTTCATAATCTTTTATTAAATAGGACACTAATATCTTATATTTTATACTATCACATTATTACTTGACATATTAACCAATCTCATATTTAAATAAACCAGTTCTACGTTTAATATTATTTTCATTCAATATATCAAACTCCCAACTCCTAGATTATTAATTGAAAGCAAATTAAATCTTAATTTGATTGAACATGACTATCAACTGACGAAAATTGTTAACTATGTTAATTATCTAGTTGTCCTTCCAATTCTATTTTTCCCGATTCACTACCTTTAATTTCGATTAACTTGTGGTGAAAATTATGATTTTTGAAGCTTGAGGGATTCAATAATGATGAGAGATCTTGTCCTGCTTACTTTAAAACAATCAAAGGTGAAGACTCATCTACTTTGGTAATTAAAACAATCCAACTCGACTCTTTTTTGCAGAATAGAATTAATCAATATGTAGTCAGTTGTTTTCTTCAATATCAGATTCTATGTATGGTCATGTAGCTAAGTGATGAACTTAATTAATTTGATATATGAATTACACTTGAGCGTCATTTTGTTATAGAATCCAAGGCTAAAACTATGCATCTTAGGAACATCTCAATGAAGTTAGATTGCCGCTTTCAAAGTTTTGTTTTGTTTTTTTGGTTGAATAAAATGACTTATAAGAGCTGTTATAATTGAGGACATCATAAATCACAATAATTTAAGATGCAAAATTGGGATATCAACTTTGTAATTATAACATTATTACAATATTTAATTAATATATTATGATGTGAATTATTTGTTTCGATGTCACATTTTTCTCTTTAGGTTGATCTCATGATTACTATAGAAATTATAAATAAACCACAAACAAAAAATCTAAACTAGAAAAATGACCGGTCAAGATTTTAATATCTTTTAAAGTTATATGCAAATTTAAAAAAAAAAAAAAAAAAAGTCTAAATGGATATTCTATTGGAATGTTTTAATTTCTTCATTTTTTGTTGGTTCGTAGAACAGTATTTAGAAAAAAGTGTAGGCTGCCTTTGGCCCCTCCTTGATGTTGATGGTTTGGCTCACTAAGTTAATATAATTAAATACAATTCTCTTAACAATTTAGCAGCCATCTCTACAAAGTCATGTTTCGTTAACCCTTAAGAGGAAAAAGCAGGGGGTTACAAAATCACTTACGCAAGTCAGTAAGAGACAAGCTGTGCCCATCCCTGATCCTTATAAAACTGGTTATTAACACGATACAAATTTGCGAAGCCAAAGTTTGCTCATAATTAAGAACAAAACAGAAAATTAAGATGAGTCGTCAACATATTTTGGCTATACCATTTCCTGCACAAGGCCATGTAATTCCTTTACTGGAGCTTTCACAGTGCTTAGTTAAACATGGCTTCAGAGTCACATTTGTCAACACAGATCATAATCACAACCGAGTCATCAATGCTTTACAGAAAAGTTATACTGAGGATGAAATCCATCTGGTATCAATTCCAGACGGAATGGAACCGTGGGAAGATAGAAATGATATGGCCAGGTTAATTGAAGCAATGCCGAAGGTGATGCCTGGGGAACTGGAGAAGCTCATAGAAGAGATCGACAGAGTGGAAGAAGAAAAGATTGTTTGTGTGATTGCAGACGCGGGTACTATTGGATTTGCCAATAGAGTTGCAGAGAAGATGAAAATTAAGAAGGCTGCATTTTGGTCCTTAGCAGCTGCAAGTCTGGCCTTGCTTTACAATGTTCCGAAGATGATTGATGAAGGAATCATTGACAGTGATGGTAACGCACTCTCACTCGTTTCTGTTCTTTTGTATTTTGTTGCAAATTTAAGGAACTTAATGACACACAAATTAAGGAATACTACTAGTATTATATTACTGGTTAACGCCTGAAATCGGCAACTTGGGAACTTGATCCCAAGGTGCTTGGCTCTTTTCCCCACAACATCACTAATATTATTTTTTGCTCTAAAAGGGATCCGACTCACAACTTCTGTTAAGAAAACCAACGCTTAAAATAATTAATAAACTGAAGAAGATAATTACATCTTTAGATTTATTCAGTGTTCTAATATAAGGTAGGCCAAGCATGCAGTTATCTATTTCTTTTATGTTCACTTTCTGTTAATTCCAGGAACTCCAATCAAGAAACAAATGATTCAGCTCGCTCAAAATATGCCTGAAATCGACAGTACAAACTTTCTTTGGGCCAACATGGGTGGCGGCTTAGCTTTCCAGAAGAAAATCTTTCATTATTTAGAGAATATCACAGAAGCTGTGAAAGTGGCAGACTGGCTCATTTGCAACTCAACATCAGATTTTGAACCTGAAGCGTTCACCTTGGTTCCAAATATTCTTTCAATAGGACCTCTTTTGGCAAGCAATCGACAAGGAAATTCAGCAGGGTACTTCTGGCAAGAAGACTCAACTTGCTTGAAATGGCTAGATCAACAGCAGCCTAACTCAGTCATTTATGTTGCATTTGGCAGCTTCACTGTTATAGACAAGATCCAATTCCAAGAGCTGGCACTAGGACTTGAACTCACCAACAGGCCGTTCTTATGGGTTGTGAGGCCAGATATTACTGATGATGCAAACGAAGCCTACCCAGAAGGGTTTCAAGACAGGGTAGCCAATCGTGGCAAAATGGTGGGTTGGGCTCCACAACAGAAGGTTTTGAGTCATCCTTCCATTGCCTTTTTTTTTAGCCATTGTGGTTGGAATTCCACCATGGAAGGTGCAAGCAATGGGCTTCCTTTCTTGTGCTGGCCATACTTCGGCGACCAATTTATTAATGAGAGCTACATTTGTGATATTTGGAAGGTGGGATTAAAGTTTCACAGGGACGAAAGTGGTATCATTACACGAGAAGAAATTAAGACTAAGGTGGATCAAGTGGTTGGTGATGAAGATTTTAAAGCAAGAGCTTTGGAACTCGAGGAAACTGCATTGAAAAGTGTCAAAGACGGCGGCCTTTCTGACAAGACTTTCAAGAAGTTCATTGAATGGATAAGGTCATAGGAACCTGGCCATGCTTGTTAGAATTAATATTTCAAGATTAATTTGTTGTGACTTCTGCTTTTTCAAAATAATCTATGTGATTGATTAATTGTTGGAAATTTGCCTTCAATATTGCAACTCACACTCAAACAAGATACTTTGGAGAGTAAGAAAATGAATAATAAAACAAGATAAAATGGTAGAGACACAATACTTAAATTGAATTGAATTCAAATTCTTGACCATAAACGTTAACAAAGACCCAAACTTGCTCTTTAAATAGGAAATAAAATGCCTAGTGCTTAATTTCTTAAGCCTAAAGAAATGGAAGTAATTCCACTAAATATTCCATGACTCCATAATTAACTACACCATGACTCCATGACTCCACTAACATAAAAATAGGATTTGATTAACCATTACATTTCATCACTCCTCCTTGATGTGAAACCAGATACGCCAAGTAGATTCCTAAATTTCACGAACTTGGAGTAAGGGAGAGCTTTGGTAAAACCATCAACAACTTGTTCAATGGTTGGACAATACTTCATCACAATTTTTCTTCCTGCAACAACATCTCTGATGAAGTGGTGACGAAGTTCAATGTGTTTGGTTCTCCCGTAGAAAACTGGATTTTTTGTCATTGAAATAGTTGCCTTGTTATCACAATAAATCTCTGTGGGATGCTGTTGATCTTGTTGTATATCAGCAAGAGTTCTCTTCATCCAAACAGCTTGACAAACAGTTGCAGTTGCAGTGGTATATCAGCTTCCGATGACGATAATGCTATGGTAGCTTGTTTCTTCGAACTCCGGGAGCAACAACTAAGACTAAAAATATAACCACTTATGCTCTTTTTATCATCTACAAAACCAGCCCAATCATTGTCAGTAAAACCAACTAATTTAAAATCAGAGATTGGTTTATACCAAATGCCATAGTCTGCAGTTGCATAGATGTAACGGAGGACCCGTTTGGTTACTCCAAGATGATGCTTCGAAGGATTGTGCATGAATCTGGAGACTAAACTGACAGGAAACATAACATCTGAACAAGTTTGAGTCAAATACATCAACCCACCAATAATGCTTCTAAACCACTTCTCATCAACTTTTGTTGTACCATCATTCATGACCAGCTTCTCACAAGTATTCATAGGTGTAGTAACAACTTTGCAATTCAACATATTAAATTTCTTAAGCAAATGTACAATATACTTTTCTTGTGAAATAAAAATGCCATGCTTTCTTTGTTGAATGTGAAGACCAAGAAAATAATGTAGCAACCCAAATCGGTCATATCAAACTCATGCATCATGCTTTCTTTATATTCTTTAATAATAATATTAGTAGAACCAATGTCTATAATGTCATCCATATAAATGCAAACAATAAGCACATCCTTACAGTTCACCTTCACATACAAGTGTCGAACTGGTCGTTACGACCACAAAATTAAACCTAAATACCGTAGTTAGCGGTAAGTAGGGTCGAATCCACAGAGAGTAAGACAAATGACCTAATGTATATTTAAGTAGCGGAAATGAAATTGACAAATTGATTAATTAAACTAAACAAACTAAATGCAAATAATAAAAGCGTGAAATTAAAATTAATGAAGACTTTATAATAAAAACGCCGCTAAGGTTTTGGTTCAACACGAGACCAACTCACACAATTATCCTCCATCCTCTATGATCCCCTAAGCCTACAAGGCAAGGTAAGTCAATGAAATGGCTTGCCGACACTCTAGGTATAATCTATCCTGTCTCACCCGATCACTCAAGTTCGATTGGTTAAAGACTATCATTGATGGCCACAAACACTACAAGAAAATACCACTAGTTGGTACGTGATTAACAAATATAATTTGTCAACACGTATCATCCAATCAACCCACTTCACAATAAACACAACAACAGTAGAAATGACATTAAATCCGAAACACAACTCAATTACAATCGATGCGAAGTAATGAAAAGCAATATTCATCATTTAATTATCTCAAACCAACGTCTATCATTCTGTAAGTTCTATGAAAACATTTAATCACAATGGACAACTATATTCATCACAAGTTATGCTCAAACCATATTATAGTATCGCAATCAAACATGAAACGAAAACAAATATAATTCGAAACACAATACTACCAAATGTTCTACAATCGGGTTCATCCAACTAGTCGAGAGCTGATGAGGAGAGTAGTGGAGTCAATCTCGATCTCGCTTATGCCGTAACAGACAACCGGGAACTCAGCCGCTCATAGTGGTGTCAACGGAGGCTAAAACGGTGCAAATGAAGCTGATCATGGCAGAGGAAGTAACCGACAGCGATATGATGTGAAGAAGGGGTGAAAACGACCAACAGATAGCTCGAAATACGAACAGTCACAATCGTCGGAATATGTTAGTTTTTCGACGAGTCTTTCAGAAAATGGTGGCAGAAATGGATCCGAAGGTACCATTGGAAAGCTCTGGTGATGGGGAGTTCAGATCAGGTCTTGGGGAGATGAAAGGTCATCGAAAATGGGAGAGATCGCAGCTGGAAGGTGAAGAGGCATGACAGCAGTGATGGCGGATTCCGTCGTTTTTGGTGGCAGTTGAAGCTTGGAATGGATAAATCCGACTATGGGGAAGCTAGATCAACCACCAGGGAAGTGCAACGTCATCAAAGGTCTCCAAAAAATGTCGAAATCATGGTTGGAATGTGAAACATCGCGGCGACAAAATGCGTGATCGCAGTGGTGATACAGGACGATGATGATCGGTGCAAAGAGACGATGAACCGTCGTCAGAGCTTGATCGGAGAAGGTGAAGGGTTTTGGTGGGCGACAACCACCAATCTGCGACGTTGCACTGCATTTTTATACAAAATATGGCAAATTTCCATTTGATCCCTGCATGATTGAAAAGTAACAAAATTAACCCCAAGTTTTATGAAATTTGACCCTGAATGGCATAAATGAGACAACATTAACCCTAGAAAATAAATTACATCCTAATATCAACTTACACAATCTCAAATTTCAATCCAAACATGCCAAATTAGTAATAAAAACTCAAAATATGATTTTTATACATAAATTCATAATTTCTCTTAATTATCTCAATAAGATTTCATTTTAATCACACATAGAGTCTTTTTATCACCAAAATAGAGTCACTTTCATGACTCTAACAACAAGGTAAGCTCACTATCACTTTGAAGAAAACCATTTTGCTGGAGATAAGAATCAAGTTTGCCGTACCATGCTCTTGGTACTTGCTTGAGACCGTAGAGAGCCTTCTTCAACTTATAAATTTTCTCTTCCTTGCCAGCAATAACAAAACCTTGTGGTTGATCTACATACACATCTTCATTCAAAGCACCATTTAAAAATGCAGATTTGACGTCAAACTGATAAATATTCCATCTCATTTGAGCTGCTAATGCCACAATAATCCTCATAGTTTCAAATCTAGCAACAGGAGAAAACGTTTCAAAATAATCAACCCCATGCTGTTGTATGTACCCCTTTACGACCAACCTTGCCTTGTACTTCTACACACTCACATCAGCATGATACTTCACCTTGTAGACCCATTTCATGCCAATAGCATTCTTCCCCTATAGCAAGTCCACGAGCTCCCATGTGTTGTTTCTTTCAGTGGCTACCAATTCCTCCTTCGTGGATTTCTCCCAGTCTTCATTTCCAACAGCACTTGTGGGCTTTACAACAATAAGAGAATAAATATCTCTCAAGGACTAAAAATTCCTTGGAAGGGTTTCACTGTCAGGGGATGATTGACCACCATTACTTTCAGACTCTGAAGGTTGATTCGAGGTTGTCAGGCTCTCTATTGGAGACGATAGAGGTGACATCGTCTACTCCCCTAGTTGTACTGATTCTGGAAACACTTGCATAAGGGGTAAGTGTTGATTTTCTTCATTGTTCCACTGCCACCTGCTACTTTCATCAAACACAACATCTCTACCAATAATTAACTTCTTTGTGTTAAGATTATACAAACAATAACCTTTTGTTTCATCACCATACCCAACAAAGATACAATTTTCATTCCTTTTTATCCATCTCAACATGATTGCTTGAGTCAATTAAAACATATGCAACACAACCAAAAATTTTCAGACCACTTACATTGGGCTTAATCTTCCACCATGCCTCATAAGGTATTTTACTTCTCACTACCTTGGTTGGAGAAATGTTAAGAAGATGAATTGATGTAGCTACTACTTCAGCCCAGAAATCATTGGGTAGCTTCTTCTAAATCAATAGACTTCCTACCATTTCTACTATCGTTTGATTTTTCCTCTCGACAATGCCATTTTGCTCTTGAATTTTCCTCACTGTTAGCTACCTACAAATGCCCATTTCTTTGCAAAACAAAGTGAACTCATCAGATAAAAATTCTCCCCCTCCGTCTGTTCTGAGAGTTTTTATTGCACAACCACTTTGCTTTTTTGCAAAAGCTTTGAACTCCTTAAACTTTTTAAATGCCTCTAAAATCTGACCAAGAAAAAACACCCAACTCATAAGAGAAAAATCATCAGTAAACAAAAGAAAATATTTACTCTTGTTCAAAGACAACGTTCTCATTGGCCCACAAATGTCAACATGAACCAACTCCAAAGGCATCTTGGCTCTCCAAGCTTCCCAACTAGAAATGTCAACTTGTGTTGCTTTCAATAGACACAACCTTCACAAACACTATTAGAAACAACAATAGATGGCAGCCCTAACACCATATTTTTCCGACTCAACAATTTCAGCCCATTAAAATGAAAATATCCATATCTCAAATGCCAAAGATGATGATTATCATTAACACTAGCAACCAAAGCATAATCCTCCAGACATGATAATTCAAGAGGGAACATTTTACTTCCAGTCATGTGGACCTTAACAGTAGTCCTCTTAGAAGTTTTTATTTCACACACTAAGCAACTGACCCACACTAAGCAAGTTATGCGCTAAACCAGGAATGAAATAAACATATGGATCAATATTTCAATACTTGACTTTGTTTTTACCACAATAGTTTCCTTTCCTTCAATTTGAACTGCTGTGCCATCTTTAAGCTAAACTTTAAGTCGAACTGAGTCATCCATCGAACAAAAAATGCTTTTTTGTCTAGTCATATGGTTACTGCAACCACTATCTAGGAATCAAACGTCATTCTTACTTATATTATGATTCAAATAGGTAAGAAACAAACTACCTTCCTCTTAATTCCCTTCGACAAAATTTGTTTGTTTGTTGCTTGCCTTTTTCTTTCTCCCAGCACTTTGTTGCAATGTGTCCACTTTTCCCTCAGTTATAACATTTATGCCTTCTATAATCCTTCCTTTCATTTTACTGCCTCAAGTCTTGTCCTTCATTTTGGTGTCTTCCCGCCTCTTCCATGTCCACGATAACTTCCTCTACCTTGGCCTCTTCTTGACTGTTGTCTTTGGCCAAAGTTACCTTCTTCAAAATTTTCCTTGCTCGGGATCTCCACCTTGGATTGAAAGGCATGCTCTAGATTCTTTTCTGCTGACCTATTAATTCTTTCTTCATATGCTAAAGAGAACCCATTAGTGCAGTAACTAAACCAACATGATCATTCTCTTCACAACATGTCCTTACACTCCTCTATGGCTATCACGACATGATCATTCTCTTCATCATGCTTAAAACTATCCAAACCACTATTCTCTTCATCAACCTTACAAATGACTAAACCAACTCAAGGACATCTACTCTTTGAATTAACCAAAAAGCTATTGATGTAATAGGGTTGGTCTAAATCAACTATTTTAATAAAAATAATTGTTTTCTTATCAGTTTTGGTAGCATAGTGCAAGTTTAGTAACATTCAAGATTTATGATAAAGCTTATGGAAAAATCCCCATACCTTGAAAAATAGAAGTTTTAGCAATCATAAATAACATCCAAAATAAATTCAAAAGGATCATTCACCTTTATCTATATTAGTCCACTTATTATATCCATTCTCCTTACATGTCTACTTCTCCCTAATCATTTGATCCTCAATAAACACCATGATGGAAAATTGGTCATCGTTATCATCAATAAGGAAATTTCTCTTGATATCCTAACATAACTTTGTACGTATTTAACTAATTCAAGTACAAACTTTTACTTAATTTCTTA